CAATCACCATCCACCAACCAATCTGCCAACCAACCAACCAACCAATCAACCAACCATTCAACCAATCAGCCAACCAACCAACCAATCAGCCAGCCAACCAACTAACCATTCAACCAACCAGCCAACCAACCATTCAACCAATCAGCCAACCAACCAACCAACCAACCAATGATAGAGATTGGCTTCCTGGCGAATCGCAACCTACCATGAAATGACATGTACTTGCTTCGACAGCCAGCTGACCACAGCCGAACCACGTATTCGATACCGAAAAATACCACCAATACTATTTCCTGGTGTATTATTATTATTATTATTATTATTATTATTATTATTATCATTATCATTATTATTATTATTATCATTATATGTAAAATTATTATTCAAATTATAATTGTTATAATTTGTATTTATTATTAACAGTTGTAGTAGCAGTAGAAAACAAAAAAATTTCTGCACGCGCACAGTGTATATACATACACGCGCATACATATACGCTCACATACACTCACTCACACACACACACACACACACACACACACACACATACATACATAAATACATACATAAGCACACACATACACACACACACACACACACACACACAGAAATATACGTTCATTTCATTTTTTGAAAATTCATTTCATTATTTCTTTCAACAATTGTATTCCAAGGACAAGTTCGATAATTTTTTTCAAACCAAAACAACAACAACATTAGCAACAACATCAACAACAACATTAGCAACAACATCAACAACAACATTAGCAACAACATCAACAACAACAACAACATCAACAACAACAAAGTATGTAATAGATATCGCTTGTTCAGCGCCTCAACGCTTCCTTCTAATTCTTTTTCTTACAAAATAAAAAAAATTATTTCTTTCTTTTTCTTTTTTTTTATAGTTTTTTACTATTTACTTTACCTACTACTACTGCTGCTACAACTACTACTACAACAACAACTACTACTACTACTATTACTACTACTATTAATAATAATAATAATAATAATAATAATAGCAAAAAAATAGCAAGAAAATTTTTTCATAATTTTTCTTCCTTGTTTATAAAAAAAATAATTTTTCACCAACATTCAAAAAAAAAATTGTAAAATAAATTATTCCGCAAACAATGACGACGACGATGACGACAACGATGACGTCACGACGACAACAACGATGACGTCACGACGACAACAACGATGACGTCACGACGACAACAACGATGACGTGACGTCATCATCACCGGAAAAAAACAAAAACAAAAAAAAATTTTACTACGAGAAATTTTTCCCATTAAATTTATTTTTGAAAACAGAACAACGTTCGAAACAAAATGAAAAACAGACACAGTGCAAATGCAAAAGTGCAAAAAAAATATTATCAAAAATACACCACCGATATACAGAAATACACACAGAACTGAAGCCAAAATCATCGACAGCAGCATTAGCAGCAACGGTAGATACCACAACGGCTACTACTACTGCAGCAGCAGCTAAAGCAGTAGCCACAACAGCAGCAGAAGAAGAACAAAAAATTAAAATCTGTGAACATAGACAAGCGAGTATTTCACATTTAATTCATACAAACATTTCATGACGGGCCGGATTGCAAATACAAAATAGCGTAAAATGCTAGCGTATTTTTGCGTTGTGTATAAAGTCAACCGTTAAACATTGTGATGATTATGAATGTTTGTGTTTGTGTGTGTGCATATGTGTGCGTAGATGTGCGTGTGTGTGTGTGTGCGTGTGTGTGTGCGTGTGGCAAGTGTACAAAACCTGATTTTTAACGGGTATTGTATACTTATACGGGTATTGCAAGGGTAAAACCCAAACTGCTTGCATTGCGTGTATGAAGTAGTCGCACAAGCAAACACAAAACAAACAAACAACATCATAATTTGTGCAAGAGTGTTTGTATGTGTATACATGTGTATATTTGTGCAAGTGTGTATCACACACACACACACACACACACACACACAAACACATACACATGCACATACACACAGATACTAAGCAACTCTAGGAAAATGAGTTTGTCTTATGTTTTTTTTTTTGGTAAAAGAGTTTAAAATTGAATAAATTCAAATTCAAATTCGCATTTCCTACTCCTTTTTATTTCTGGGTGTATGGGATGTGTATTTATTCTGACGGAACAACTGAATTAACTTTGAGAAAACGTGAAAAAGAGAGAGAGAAAGAAAGAGAGAAAGAAAGAAATAGATAAAAAAAGAGAAAAAAATAGAGAGGGAGAGAGAGAGATTGACAAAATAAAAAAAAATGCTTACCATATATCCCTGGAAAACAAGCAAGCAACCAACCAACCCATCCAACCTTAACGAAAATACCTGACAACAGTTTAAGTCGAGGATTTAACATCATCCTAATGGGAGAGAGAGATTGAGAAAGAGAGAACAGATCAAATCAGAGAGAGAAAGAGAGAGAGAGAGAGAGAAAGAGAAAACAGACGCAAAAAATGCTTTATTAAACAGTGGAAATATAACAGTGGAAAAGAGAACGTGCATGATTAAGAAAAATAAATAACGTTAAAAGAAAGAGAACCAGAAAGAGAGAAAGAGAGAGAGAGAGAGAGAAAGAAAGAGAGAGAGAGAGAGAGATGGCATGGAAGAACTGATAGCACTTGTGCCTTGCATTGGTGTTTATGTTGATTGTTGCTCGTAACGGGTTCTTCTCTTTTTGCTGTTTTTGTTGCCGCTGCTGCTGTTGTTGTTGATTTTATGGTTGATGTTGTTGTTGATGTTATGGTTGATGTTGTTGTTTGTTGACGTTGTTGTTGTTGCAGCCGCATTCTTTTTAATGTAGCTAATATTTTTGACTTTGTTGTAGTTGATGTATTGCGGTGGATTTGTTTTTGTTCGAGTTGTTGTTTTTAACCTCTAAAAAGTAGACAGAGAAACAAGCAGACAAACAGACAGACAGACAAACAAAAGAACAAACAAAAAGACAGACATAAATTCGTTACTGTCGAGTCGTAGGACGTTTGAAAGCAGAGAGCATAACGAGGAAACACAAATTAACAAGACATCAGCATCAATATATTGTTCGTTCGTTCGTTCGTTCGTCTGCTCGTCGGTTTGTTTGTTCATTCATTCATTCATCCATCCTGTCATTTTTCATTCATTCAAAATGTGAAGCGGAAGGAAATGGGAGGGAAAACGCAAAAATGAGTTAAAAAATAGGGAGTGGGAATTTTCGGGAACGTCGTCAAGAATGGAAATTCGGGAGAGAATCAGGAATGAGAAAAAAAAATTGGACAGAATTAGGAACAGATTTCAATTCCTGTTCTCCTCCAACACGTACACGCACGTGCATATTCATTCACTCATCTACTACTGTTGCTACTGCTGCTACTACCACTACTACAACTGTTGCTATTACTACTACTACTACTACTACTACTACTACTACTACTACTACTACTACTACTACTACAGCCACCAATGCTACCGTATGAATGCCGAGTGCAGAAGCAAAATTTAAAAATGAGTGAAAAAACGACAAGCAAGAAATATAGTACGAGAGGCTGTTGTTGTGACTGCATGTGAAAGGTTGGTTGTGGGCTGTTGTCGCCATGGTGACGACTGGAATGATTATGATTACGATGGTGGTTGTGGCGGTGATGATGATGGTGACGATTGGGCTGCTGAAATGATGGTGATGATGATGATTTCAATGATCCCGAAGATACTATATGAAGCCAACCGACCTACAAACTGCTAGACAAATTTCGACACATATATACAAAAAGGCACACAAACCAACAAACAAACACTCACAAATACACATAATCAACACACATAAAAACACACGTACACACACGCACATATCTACATACAAACAAATACTCACAAATACACATAATCAACACACATAAAAACACACGCACACACACGCACATATCTACATACAAACAAACCAACCTAACAACCAACATACACGAAGACAAACAAACATAGGTTCCAATAAAATCATAACGATAACTATCCGTACCTAAAAACTAAATATATGATGAATATTCCTGTCTAAAAACTGAGTTTTATTGACTTTTTGTAACAACACTGCTCATAACATTCCCCCTTCGTATCAACATACTTACAAACATCTAGACAAACATTCATATAAACATACACTCAAACATACATACATACAAACATATATACAAACATACAAACCTAAATACATACAAACATACATACAAACATACAAACCAACGTACCATCCAAAATAGGGATTCGTTGGCGAAATTTTCAAACTGTTCAATCGTCGATAGGACGCTGAATATTAGGCAGATTAGAACCAGGGCAAACCTGTTAATATTATTAATACTATCATTGTTATAAATATTATTATTATTATAATTCATTCATTCATACATGCATGCATGCATGCATGCATGCATGCATTCATTCATTTATCAAACGGTCAATCCATCCATCTATCCATCAGACTTAACGTGATCTTCTCCCCAGGCGGTGGCGAAATTAAACAACGAACAACATATGAATGAATGAATGAATGAATGAATGAATGAATGAATGAATGAATGAATGAATGAATGAATGAATGAACAAATAAATGTATGAATGAATAAATGAGTGAATGAACGAATGAATGAAGAACTGAAAGAAGTTAATGAATGAATGAAAGATAAAAATTCATTTGTCGAATGTTAGCTAGAGATGAGTCATTGTCTCAAGATACTTAAGTATTAGTGTGTGCGTGCGTGTGTGTGTATGCGTGTGCGTGCGTGTGTGTGTGAAATTTTGATTAAACTTCCATGCAAATCAAATTTTTTGCTCTATTAAAAAAATAATTAAATCTTTCTTTTGGATTTTCCAGTAAATAGAAACTTCATCACGTATGCATGAAAGAATGTTTCTTTGTTTGTTTGTTTGTATGTTTGTATATAATCTTGTATTCGATTGTGTATTAGTACGCCTACGCTACGTACATACAATAATTATGTGTTCATGTGTGTATTTATGGATGTATGTATGGATGTGTATATATATATATATATGTGTGCATGTATCCAAGTTTGCAAACATGTGTATGTGTAATGTATGTACGTATTCATGTACGTATGCGTGTTGTACACAAAACAAAACAATCGATTGTATATATATAATCACACACGCACATACATATATACATAGAAAGTGTGTACAAAAAAGCAAATTGAAAATAAGCAGCATGGTTAGACACAAAACTCAAGTTAAAAGCATAATTGTATGTAGGTATGTATGATTGTGTGTGTGTAACTAGTGAACTATTGTGTATAGGAGGAGTATGTATGTGAATGTAAATATGTGAATTGAAATACTCGTGTGTGTGCGTGTGTGTGTGTGTGTGTTTGTGTGTGTGTGTGTGCGTGTGTTCGAGTTTATATTAATTTTTCAAATTATCTTTGGACTTAAAACAAATAATTCTTGCCATCCTTGCTACAGATGTTGATGTTGTTGTTGTTGGCGTTGTTGTTGCAGATGTTGATGTTGCAGATGTTGATGTTGCAGATGTTGATGTTGCAGATGTTGATGTTGCAGATGTTGATGTTGCACATGTTGATGTTGCAGATGTTGATGTTGCAGATGTTGATGTTGCACATGTTGTTGTTGCAGATGTTGATGTTGCAGATGTTGATGTTGCAGATGTTGATGTTGCACATGTTGATGTTGCAGATGTTGATGTTGCAGATGTTGATGTTGCACATGTTGTTGTTGCAGATGTTGATGTTGCAGATGTTGATGTTGCACATGTTGATGTTGCAGATGTTGATGTTGCAGATGTTGATGTTGCAGATGTTGCAGATGTTGATGTTGCAGATGTTGCAGATGTTGATGTTGCAGATGTTGATGTTGCAGATGTTGATGTTGCAGATGTTGATGTTGTTGATGTTGGTGATCTTTACATACATACCCACGAACATACATACGTGTATACATATACAAACACACAAACACACATATACAAACACACAAACACACGTACAAAACGTACATATAAACATACAAGCAAATATATCATACAGAAACTCAATAATCCATAGTACTAATCCCGAAATTCTAGACAATTACGGATGATTTAAAATTGAAAGAACGGATCAATGAATGAATGGATGAATTAATGGATGGATGAATAAATGGATGGATGAATAAATGGATGGACGAATGAATAAATGGATGAATGAATGAATGGACGAATGAATGAATGAATGAATGAACGAATATATAAAAAATAACAAATAAACGAGCAAAACAAATGAATAAATGGATGAAATAATGAACATACACGCGTATGCACAAACACACACACACACATAGACACACAGACACACACATACATACACTTATACACACATAGATACTTACATACATTTATACATACATTCCTACAAAATACAAAAAGAATTACATACAAAGATTCATGCAAACAAACCAACAAAAAAACATACAAACAAATATACATACATGTTTTTATATTCTAGACATTTTGTTACAGATCAAAGCCGGTTGCTTGTGAATTCATCATTAACAAGATGAATGAATGATGGATGGATGAATGAATGAATAAAAAAACGAATAATCGGACGAAGGAAAAAATGAATGAACGAATGAATGAATCAAGAAATGAATAGATGTATAACTGAATGAAGGAATTAATAAATTAACGAGCCAATAAACCAATGAATTAATTAACAAAGGAGTTAATGAATGAATGAATTAATGAATTAATGAATTAATGAATGAATGAATTACTAAACTAATAACGAATGAACAAACAAACAGATAAAAATGTTTAAATGAAGGAATATATGAAAGAAAGAAAGAAAGAAAGAAAGAAAGAAAGAAAGAAAGAAAGAAAGAAAGAAAGAAAGAAAGAAAGAAAGAATAAAAAATAGACAAATAAATCAAATCAAATCAAATTTTATTCAATCAATCCAAATTAATAATAATTAGGTAATGATTAGGAGACCAAAGCTAAAAGAAAACAAAATTCTTGTGTCGCAGGCCAGCGTTCACAAATTGTTCATTCTAACACAATTTTTAAGTAAATTTATAATTCATGACAAAATTAACATAATGCAAAATTTACATGATTCTAATTAAATAATTTGTAGTCTTTATATCAACAGGAAGTTTCTGCCAGATTCCGGGACCGGTATGTTTTAAACTTCCACCAAGCAGTGTTATTCTTGTAGGTGGTGTATAGAGAAAAACATAAGAAAAGATAGTACAGATGATAATGGTGACCAATGCATGCAGTTAACGTCACAGATGAGTACACAAGACAACAACAACAACAACAACAACAACAACAACAACAACAACAACATCAACAACAACAACATCAACATCAACAACAACAACAACAGCGACGACGACGACGACGACATCAACAACTCTAAATAAAAACAAAAG